TCCTTGCTCTTTCTCAGATCCCCTGTTTGCTGGAAGCCAGCCGCCATGTTGTGAGGATGCCCAAGCAGTGCTATGGAGAGAGGTTCATGTGGTAAGGAACTGAAACCTCCTACCCTCAGCTATGCAAGTGAGCCATCTTGGAAACACATTATCCAGCCTTAATCCAGACAGTTTGACTGTAACCATCAGACACTGTGAGCCAGAATCGTCCAACCAATCGGATGCCAGATTATGGACTCATGGAAACTGGTGAGAGAATAAGTGCTTATTGTTCTTTTTAATATCTAACTTTTGCTGTGCAGCAATGGTTTATTAACACACAAACCTTCTGTGTGATTCTGATACATGCTAAATTTTGAAAAACATTGAGCTAAAACATTCATTCACCAACTAATTATTTTTTTGTATCTGCTATATACCAGGCCTAACAGCAGAAATACAAGATAGGCAAAACAGACACTGACCATCCATTGAATCCTTTTCTTGTCCTTCACTGGACTAATCAAACTTTATAACGATTTTATTTACTTCTGTCCTGCAAGTTTTGGGTAGGCAGGACCCTTGTCTGGTTTCTTCACCCCCAGGTTTCTGTGGCCCAGTCCTGTGTCTGGCACACAGGAAGTGTGCAATTAATATTCACTTGATGACACTTCCCTTCCTTGTTCCCCACTTTTTGCCTATATGAAAAATTCAGGCCCCAGTAACAAGGCCTTGAATAGCACCAATAGCACTACACTCAAAGGGCTCAGTAACATCTCCCTGGGAATCTAACTGCCACTGGCTAATCTCCATACAAAGAAATGTTTTTTGTGTTGAACACAGTCAACTTTTAGTCTCTCTATTTCAAAGATGCAGATTCCTAAGCATGTATAAAGAAAATGTATGCAGTGGATGTGTTAGTCTGTTCTTGCACTGCTATAATAAAATATCTGAGACTGGGAGAATAATAATGAAAAGAGGTTTAGTTGGCTTACAGTTCTGTAAGCTGTTCAAGAAGCCTAGTGCTTGCATCTGCTTCTGAGGAGGCATCAGGAAGCTTTTATTCATGGTGGAAGGCAGAGTCAGAGATGGCACTTCACATGTTGAAAGCAGGAGCAAGACACAGAGTGGGTGGGAAGTAGTGCCACTCACTCTCAAATAACCAGATCTCTATTCCCAGTTACTTGGGAAGCTGAGGCAGGAGAATTGCTCGAACCTGGGCGATGGGGGTTGCAGTGAGCCAAGATTGTGTCACTGTACTCCAGCCTGGGTAACAGAGCAAGACTCCATCTCAGAAAAAAAAAAAAACCATGCAAAAATCAAAAAACAAATCAAAACAGAAAATAACCAAATCTTACAACAACTCACTATCATGAAGGTGTTACAGCCTGGGTGACAGAGCTATACTTCATCTCAATAAAACAAAAAGAAAAAGAAATCAGAAAATAACCAAATCTCACAAGAACTGACTATCATGCACATAGCACCAAGCCCTGAAGGATCTGCCCCCATGATTCAAACACCTCCTCCCCAGACCCAGGTGAACTGGGGATTACAATTCAACATGAGATCCAGGCGGGGACATATATCCAAACTACATCAGAGGGTTTCAAAATATAAGTAATTGCAAGGGAGACTGTAAAGATGAACACATCAGTAAAGGTTTCAGCCAAGAATACTAGAAAATTAAAGTATTATGAGATCAACCATGTGTTCAGTTTATATATATATATATATATATATATATATACATACACACACATACACATATCTAATGAGCAAATCAGTAAAGGAAGTGGTGCACACTGTTTCACCTCCAGTGCAGGCCTTTGTGAATCAGAACAACAGGAGGCCAGCAACACTGCCAGGGTGATCTTTTGTGATGGTGCCCATCCTGCTGACCTGTGTACCCAGGGCTGAAGATGGGACTGTGCAAACTGAAATGTTCTAATCCCTTCTAACAGCTATTCGATGGGTTATTTTGTTCAGGAGCTGACGTTAGAGGTTAGAGCACTTGGAAACAAGAAAGTGCTGAGACAATAAGTCAATACCTTCTCGACATGACCTCAGAGCATGAAGGGGGCATTTGGAGAACACTTTCTGATAACAGAAAAAAAAAAACCAGTCATCATTGACTTTTAAAATTCTTATAGCAGACAGATTGAGATGTGGGTGACATCATTTGACTGCTATTTAAAGATGTCGGATAAATTATAAAACAGATTCTGGCTCTCAGCCTATTTATGATCAAGATCAAAGAAGAGGGGCAAAGACTACTGCAGCCTCATGGGTAATCAGAAGGTGCTGGAGTTTTGCTGAGCAGAACTCACCTAAGCTGTCTCCACTGCCCATCCTTAGTGAGGGTTCTCACATGCTTCACCGTGACAAGGCACAAGGGCCACAGATAAATTTAACACCAGATCATGTCTTCTGTTGCCTCTTCTATCTTTGGCCATCCCCAACCCTTACCCACAGAGCACAGCCTGCCCAGTTGGAACTGAGGGATTTCTTATCAACTTGCTATTTTTCATTCTTTTCTGACTAGCAAAACATGACAGTGCTGTCCTACGGAACTTTCTGGGACAATGGAAATGTTCTCCTTCTGCACTGTCCAGTATGGTAGCCAACAGGACTCAGAATTTGGGGGTTAGTGAGATTGAGATGCAAAAGGATTCCTCTTATTTAGTTTTAAGTAATTGAAATGTAAGTGGCCATATTGGTCAGTACAGTGCTAGAAAATAATAATGATTGCAAACTGGCCTGCCACCTCATCCTTGGAAAGGTTGTATTAGTATTTCCATTTCTCTTCTGTGGATATTGAGGGTCAGAGGATTAAGTAACTTGCCCAAGTTCAGAAAGCCAGCAAGTGGCAGAGGGGAATTCAAACTCAACCCACCGTGTGCAACCTCAACCTCTTGCAATGACATCAAACTGCAGCCTATTGTTCTGCATGTCAAAGAAGCCTTAAAGATAATCTTCATTTTCTGAAACTTTAAATTTTCAGTAAATTGTTTTAAAAAGAAGCTGGCTTTATATGGCATAATTTATTTTAACAAAAACACATAGGAAAGTGCTTTTTTCAGTTATGACTATCTAACTTGAAGTTTTTAAACCACATGTTGATAATAAGTGTATCTGACAGGCCCCTCTAACTGTGCTTTAAAACTTTTGCTCTAATCAAATATTAGCCACATGAATTCATGAGAGGGTGACGATATGAAAAAGATGTTATTAAACTTCTGTCACATCCTATTATGCTGTCTAGGCATTATTCTATCCTGTTTACCCTTTGCTGACAAACTAGATTATACTTTCTTTCCTAATCAACAAGATCCTATGAAACCACATGAGAGATAAAGAACTTAGGATTTCAAATGAGTGATTTAAAAACAGAGTGTCAAAGGCATGAGTTTAAAAGGGAGGAAAAAGCTGAGCTTCAGGAAAATAACATGTAGTCATATTGTAAATTTTTTCTTAAGTTATATGTAAAATGTTTCACATTATTATCATACCAAAAACCCACTCTAAAATCTGCAAGCTTCAATCCAGGATAGCTGTGTGTCCTGAATCCATAACCAAACCAGTGTTACCTCCACAAATCATTCCTTTATTCATGGGGAAGAACTGCACTGTCCAAGAAAGGAAAAAGGGTTGTAAATACATTGAAATTGGGGTAGAGAACATTATAGTTCTTTAAAGACAAAACCAATACCCTGTGGTTCTTGTACAGATTTTCATATTGCCAAAAGGATCTAGGATATTCCTTAATATTACCCTACTCAGGCAATATCAAAGAAAAATGGGGTGATAAGCTAAAACATAAAGAAATGGGTAAAACTCAAAATCTCTGAGGATCAAAGCTTGACTGGAAAAAAATGTAAGCCCAGTATGATGCCCTCCCATTGTATAAAACCCAACTGTAGATGAAAGATGCTGTACTCTTTGTCTAAAAGAGCTAAATCAGATACTGGAACTGGTCTCATCAAAGCCCATACCCACTCATAATCTTACAACACAACACATTACCCTGTGGTCACAGATACAGCACCACAGCAAAGCATGACATAAGCTATGTGAACAGGCATGAGTAGTAGATTCAAAATGCTGCAGATTCCTGGACACGCCTACCTTACCTGCCTCAAAAGGCAGGTCTATGTTTTCTCCCCTAGAATCAAGTGAGCCCTGCAATGACCCTGGCCAATAGAATTGCACACATGATGCTGTACAGGTCTCTAGGTGTTGGCCTTAAGAAACCAGCAGTGGCAGAGAAAAATGCAAATTCTTGAAATTCAAATTCTTGATTTCCTGTGTTTTCAAACATTGTCCCTGGGATCCATCAGTTGCCATTTAACAAGTCCAATTACTTTGAGACCACCATGCTAGAGAGACTGTGTGCAGGCACATGGTCTAGAGAGGCTGTATGCAGGCATGAGCTGGGCCTCCTGCCATCCCTGCAAAGGGACTGAATGGATGTGGGAGTGAAGTCATCCCACAAAGCAGCTGAATATACCAGATGACCCATGGATGCCACATGGAACAGAAAGAACTATCCCGCCAGGCCTGTCCTGACCCATAATATCACGAGAAAAATAAAACAGTTCTTGCTTTTACACCTCAAAAATTTGGAGTAGTCTGTTCCACGAGTGTTTCTTTTTTCCTTAGTTAACCTACCCTCCCTCCAAAACCACCTGTTAATGGCTCTTACCATTCAGGTGGAGCATGCCTAATCTGAATAACCAAAAGCTGAAATGCTCCAAAATCCAAAACTTTCTGTGTGCCCACATGGCACTCAAAGGAAAGGCTCATTGAAGCATTTTGGATTTTTAGGTTAGAGATGCTCAACCGGTTAAATATCTGCAAATATTCTGAAATCTGAAAAAAGTCCAAAATCAGAAACACTTCTGGTTCTAAGCATTTCAGATAAGGTATTCTCAACCTGTATAACATGACTATATTTTTTCGATATCAGATCTCACCCTGCCTGCTCTCCCAATCATTCCAATTTTTAATATAACACCTACCAATGAAACCAGAAGATGGTGGATTTGGTTGAATCTTCTCTTTAGTGTTCTCCTGGATAATGTCCCAGAGCTGCCATATAAATTTAGGATGAAGAATGTAAAATGGCTGATTTGGGTTTCTCTGACGATGCTGAATATATGGAGTGAACAGGTTGTAATCTGGTTTCTTGTACCACTAAGGAAAAAAAAAATCATGCAGTCAAGTAGAAAGAACTACACTGTGAAAGGAGACAGGGCATGGCTGGTTGATTGGAGGCAGAGGGGCCAGGCTGGGGCTAGAGGATGGGAAAGATCACGGTTCATGACATCTACAGATACTTCTCCACTGGGATGAGGGGATGAGGACAAAGAAAGACCAGAGTGCTAGCTGCAGCAGAGATAATACTTTGTGCTTTAGTATATATTTATCAGGAAAATGGACTGGATCATGGATCAGCAGACTTTTTCTGCAAAGGGCCAGATATTCAACACCTTGGGCTTTCCAGGCCACAGAGTCAGTTACCTCTACTCAACTGCATCATCATAGCATGGAAGCAGCCATGGAAAATAAATACTGAATAGGTGTGCTGTGTTCTAATAAAACACTATTTATGCAGACAGGTGGTGGCTAGATTTGACTCATGGGTGTAGTTTGTTGACCCCTGGGGACTGGATCTGTGTATTTCAAAAATAAGTTTTCCAAATTTCATCTATAGTGACAGAAATTTTACCGTTACTGCCTGGGCCTGAGTTGGGGCTGGGAAGATTGACTAGGATGGATTGACAAAGGAACTCTTTAGGGTGAGGGAAATATTCCAGTTTTTCATTGTGATGGTAGATACATGAATATATAAATTTGTTATCATTCATCAAAATGTACGCTTGTATTTATTTACACAATGTATGCTATTGTATGAAAAGTCGATAAGGATGTTTTTTGAAAAAAGTTTTCAGAAGCGTCTCCGCTGTAACCATGACATAGATTTGGGGAGGGTGGGTGGGGAGAGGCTTAGCTTGTAGAACTCACTTTAAACAGACATCACGGTGTATAGTGGGTATATATTAAGATCCCAGGTAACATTCCACTAATGAAATGGCACTGTTGTTTCAAAAGCTTTGAGAATGACTGGACAGGATAATCTTACATAAACTAAGCCCCCAAGCCATGTGGCACTGGCAAGGGAGCAAGAGGAATGTGGGGCCAGAGGGGGAATCACTCCTTTACCTTCCCTCCTCTTGGGGCCTCACAAGGCAGCAAAGACCCCACAGAAAGGGGCAGCAAAGGCCCCAGAGAAAGGTGCCCTGGGCTGGGCTGCTTCCAACAGAGGAAGAAACAAGGTCCAATAGCTAGAAACTCTGTCTGTTCACAGACAGCAAGAAAGCTGCCAGAACTTAAAACCAGGGAACATTAGGCTGGGTAGTTGAAAAGTTCAAACACCCATCTGATGCTTGATTCTCAGTGGAGGGCACATATAAGAATCAACTGCAGACCCTCTCAAAAAATACACATTGAGGCTATATACAGCCTACATTTCTGGAGATGGGGCTCTGACAGACAGATTTTGAAAAATACTCTCCGGATGATTCTGACTTGCATGCTTGGCCAAGAATCATAAGTAATCATGTGAGGTAAATGTCCAGCCTCAGTCTCAAGGTCCACAGTGACCAAAATGCTCCTGCTCTAGGACCTGCTTCAATCTTGGGAAGTTACCTCTTGGAGGAGCAAAGATCTTTCTCCGACACTCGTCTTAAGAAGGTTACATCCTCTCTGGTCTTGACTAACCAAGTCAAAGACACTCATTTACAGACCTGACAGCATCTCTTACTAGGTTAAACACCATCCATCTTTTCTAGCCCTCACTGAAAACAAGCATGCTGGCTTTTCATGAAGGGTGTCGTCAAAAGCAGCTGGCTGCTTGTTTAGATAAGCAATGATTTACCAGAATGTCCCAAATATAACCTGTTTGTGTTTTTATGGCTAGTAATAAACTTGTTTCAGCCCTATTGCATAAAATTAAACAGATTAAGAAGTAGAAGTCAAAGAGGAACACACTTAAAAAAAGCCGAAATCAGGCCCCCTTTAAATAAAACTGAGCTGCGGATTCACAAAGTTGAGATTTTCTTGCCAATCTCTTTCAATTTATTTCAAAAGGTCCTCCTTTTACTTGAAAGGTAATGTAGCCTATCACAATGAAACAATTCTGAATTTAATCGGTCAACCCTTTAGTGTAACTAGGAATTTCTGAATATTTAGATATTCTGCATTCCTCCCTGCCGCCCAGCCCCTCTGCCCACCAATTCTGCACAAAAGCACTTTGGCATTAGATGATTAATGCTCACAAGTGTGCTCCTGTAACTGGATATCCACATGGTGTTCACAAACACGCATTAAATTGGTATTGATGGGTACTTTCATTGTCTGTCAAAGCTTAATCCTTGCCTTGCTCTTACCATTAATTAGTCAAAGCCATTGTCTGACCATTGGGGTGGGCACATTCAGGAAAACACTTACCAGGTTAAGATTTGCAGAATATGGGGCAGGGTCCCAGGCCACCAAAATGACGTCTTTATAGAGGGAACTGTCAATGAAGTGATGGCTGGGGTTGGTCAGAATCTGCAAACACACGGAAAAAAGACTATTTCAAAGCCGAGTTTGTTTTTTTTTTTTAATTGCTTTTTAAAAAGAGGTGAAACTTTACAAGAGCTAGGGTGAGAAAGAGGTGGCCCAGACTTTGTATTTTCTTCTTGGGGAGGGAGAGAGGTAGGCCTTGCATGCAGAAGCACTTAAAGAATATTTGGGGAAATTACTTTAAAAAAAAACAAGCCCATTCAAAAGTGGGGGAAGGATATAAACACTTTACAAAAGAAGACGTACGTTAGCCAACAAACATATGAAAAAATGCTCATCATCACTGGTCATTAGAGAAATGCAAATCAAAACTATATTGAGATACCATCTCACGCCAGTAAGAATGGCGATCATTAAAAAATCTGGAGACAACAGATGCTGGAGAGGATGTGGAGCAATAGGAACACTTTTACACTGTTGGTGGGAGTGTAAATTAGTTCAACCATTGTGGAAGACAGTGTGGCGATTCCTCAAGGACCTAGAAATAGAAATTCCGTTTGACCCAGCAATCCCATTACTGGGTATGTAACCAAAGGATTATAAATCCTTCTACTATAAGGACACATGCACACAAATGTTCATTGCAGCACTGTTTACAATAGCAAAGACCTGGAACCAACCCAAATGCCCATTGATGATAGACTGGACAGGGAAAATGTGGCACATATACACCATGGAATACTATGCAGCCATCAAAACGATAAGCTCGTGTCCTTTGTAGGGACATGTATGAACCTGGAAACCATCATTCTCAGCAAACTGACACAAGAACAGAAAATCAAACACTGCATGTTCTCACTCATAGGCTGGTGTTGAACAATGAGAACACATAAACACAGGGAGGGGAGCGTCACACACTGGGGTCTGTCGGGTGGAAAGACTGGAGGGACAGTGGGGGGTGGGGAGTTGGAGATAGATAGCATGGGGAGAAGTGCCAGATATAGCTGAAGGGGAGGAAGGCAGCAAATGATGCTGCCATGTGTGTACCTATGCAACAATCTTGCATGTTCTTTACATGTACCCCAAAACCTAAAATGCAATTAAACACACACACACACACACCCCCCCCCCACACAGTTCTTACATTTTCACCAGCAATGTATTCATGTTTAGTGGTATCGAATCCACGTCCTGAAGGATGCAACTCCCTAGCTAATTCAAGCCCCACAACGTCTTCTACAATTGCCTTCAGATGTAATTTGGAGACAGAGTTACAGGTGTGGATGAAGTGAATTCTGAAGGAGCCTCCAGGGTGCCAGCCGCAGCCTTCCTTCTGTGGACCTACCTAGTTCTGAATGAGTTCTTCAATCTCAGCTGCCAATCATCTTTTTAAAATTATTGTTTTGGGAAAAAAATGTATTATTTTTCCTCAGTTTTCAGACACTTTTTTTTTTACCATTATTATGATATACTTCTTTTCCTTCACATGTTAAAGTTTCTGAAGTTAGAATGTATGTTACAGATGATATATATTCTAATTTGGTGGCATTTATCTCCTTCTTTGTGAAAAGTTGTTATTAAATGAATAGCAGATTTTACAGTCAAATGACATCTCTGAATTAAGGAAATATGGTAATTGCTTCTTACCTTGTGGCAGGCTGCCTGGTGCAGTGAACTGTGCAGAAAGCTAATCTTTTGTTCTGTAAGCAACTCAACATAAATTACTCATCATCTAACTTTTTCTACATATTTTGAAACTCTAGAAATCATTGTATTTGTTCTGAGAAGGTTTTGCTATAAATTTGCAAGGCATTCTTATTAAGAATGTGAAGAAACAATATTTTTTATTTCCAATTAAATAATTCCTTTTCATTTAAAAAAAATTTCCAAATAACAGAGTAAAGTTGCAAAGATGTCCTACGGATCCTCAGCTTTTATACTTTTGCTTTTCTCCCCTTTATCCTCTGCTTTCCTTATTGCTATTTCTTCTAAGTTTAACTTTTCTCAGTTCACAAAATGTAACACACTAAGTCTATGATTATAAATATATATATTTGTATTTCTACTCATTTTTCCTTTTAATCTTATTTACTCATTTCCCCCATTCATGTCATGTCTAAATTCCTATTTCTCTGCAGTTTTCCTCATTAATTCGTATTAATTGTAAGAGTGACAGAAACAAACAAGTACTATGATCATAATTAACCAGGTAACTTCTCTTCACTCATCCAGTTAAACTCATCCTCTTCACTCAGCAAGTTAAACATAAAAAACATCCATAAAACACTTCATCTGTCTTACCTGGGAATTAATGATACGCATGGTGGTTTTATTCCCAACATCTTTCTCATAACCACGTGTAGGAGCAGAGTTAAATCTCAATACTGCATCATGAGAATCTAAGGGCACATAAGCAAAAGCTTACTTTTGTTATCTGTAGAATCACATAATCTAGGAAAAAATGTTAAAGCAAATTTTTCAATACCTGAAGCTAATTACATACCATCAATAAAGTTAAGATATCCCTACATGATTTTCACAGAATTTACCCTTCATTGAGAATGAGATCTTGGCTAGAGGAAACATCAATATGGATATATATAGATATAAAATCTATTCCATTGTGGGCGATGCCGTATCATCTAAGTGATATTTAGATACTTGCTACCTTTTTCAACATTCTTTACAAGTGACATGCTTTCTGTGGCCATTCGCCCAAAGCTTCCAAGACTTTGGGAGATTCCTGAGGGATACTCTAGTGGAGCAGGTAAAGACACACTGCTTTTTGGTGCTGGTGTATGCTTAAAAAGAAAGCCAGCCCTTAAGCAGAGATTCTGCATTTAATGTCAATGAAAGAAAGAAAATCAGTCCTGACTTCCATGCAGCCTTATGTACTGCTGTCAATACCAGGAAGACCTGTGGGAGAGCAACCTTAGAGCATTCTGCATTAGCAGCAATAGCCTGGTAGACTGCTCTCGCCCCTGAGGATGGGTGAGATGGAGAGACTGCCAGCGCCACCAGCTGCCAGGGCTCTTATGTTCTGTAACCACACACTGTGCTTCACGAAACCTGAACTATTAATGCAACATAAATCTACATCTCACTTCATTCAACTTGACATCCATACTTGCCCAAGTTCTCTGAATGCTGGGCTGAGAGGTCTTGGATGGAAACAAGGACCCCTATCCTAGAGGCCCACAAGGAGGTGAAGAGTGGGAGGTATAGGAAAGTGGGTTCAGCTGATTCAGCATTGGGAATAAGAGATATGTTTCCTTTGCATAAGGCAGTCTATAAACATACATGTGTCTTGAAATTCCCAGAAACCAGCCTGAAGCCAGAGTCAGTGAGCCAGAAAGCAATTTTCTAAGGGCCATCTTTAGCTTCAAGTATCTCATGCAGATTCCAAGCTTGGCCTGGAGTAAGGACACTGCCTATCTGTGAGAGAGGTGAAAAGAGTTATTTCTGACATGCCCAACAGGAGCTGCATTTATGGTACCTGAGCCCCTCACAAGTGCCTGAGGCAGCTGCCTTCTTCCCTGAGTCCCTGTTACGTGCTCCTTTGGAGTCTTCTTCTTGCTCCCCAAGCAGAAGAAACTCACCATGCATGCCCCCATTAAAACACAGTTATATAAGGTGCCTTCACTGACAAGCCCTGAGCTTAAAAGAATTCAAAGTCCAGTTTTAGCACCAAAATCAATACACTTTTGGAACAGATGAATGCATAAAGTGTAGATGGCTATGTCATCAAAACCTCACCATGTTTTTTTAGGGGAAATTTTGTAGGAGTTGGCAAATTATGACCTTCTGGCCAAATCTGGCCTGCCAGTTGTTTTAGTAAATTAGGTTGCACCATAACATAGACACACTCTGTACACACTGTCTATAACTGCAGAGTTGAGCTGTTGAGACAGAGACATGGTTCACAAAGTCTAAAAGTCTACTACTAAGCTCTTTAAAAAAGTTTGCCAATCTCTACATTCCAGGGGATCTATTCTTTGTATAAATAATGCCAAAATACATGAATGCCTCTAAGCTAAAACCAGGTTTTTACTTCACAATTTAAGGATTTATTCAGACTTTATTGAGGTAATGGATTTATTATTTATATTTGTTGAAAAATGTTTTGTCATAAAAACTCAAATAATATTTGAGGTAGAAAAATTAGATTACCCCAAACAGTAGACTCTTGAAATTTATTGATAATGCAAAGACTTTTTGGACATATGAAATATATCTACTGATATTTATCATAATAGAAAGTAAAACAGGGAATTTTTAAATGACTATTAATTTATTTTAAAATAACTTTATTTCAATTTAAAAAAACCCTATATTTTCAAAAGCAAAAAGAGTTCTACAAAAACTGGCCCTGTTTTAAGTGTTTGCAAGTCTCTTAAAGGTCTGGTTTTTTAGAAAGTTGGTTTCTCATATTTGCTTTAGAATTCAACTTGTTGCAGTATGCTGTTTTATTTGAAGTAAATAAAAGCTCAGACACATTGTTGAGTAGAGAGAGCTATTTTAAGAATCTTTCCAAAGAGCTGTGAATATTCTTCTACAAGGGCAATTTCTTAGGGGTTGGTTATAATTTGGAATCTGAAAACTATCAATGAAATTGTTGTTCTCTGTTACATTAAAACTTGTCATCTATTTTTCTCTTAAAATAGATCTTTCACTCACGGGTAATTGTATAATATTGTACAATGATCGTCTGAAAACTATCAGCTCAGTAAGTTACGAAAATCTTCCAAATTGTGAAACATATTGTTATAAAGAATTGAAACACCACATTGGTTAGTATCATCATGGAGTTCACCATTTTGAAAGTCTGGATAACTTCCAAGTTCATCGTTCAAAGCTTAAATTTTATCATTGACAACAAATACTATCAGTTATTTTCCTAAAAGTGACAGGCTCCCTTGATTCCTTTTTGAGAGCATATCTGCCAAATATCCAAGTCTGAATAATTAACATTTCTTTTCAAGTTAAAATTATATTGCATGCAAAAGGTGGCTAGTTCAGCTCACAATGCAATTACACAAGGGCTTTTCCTTTGTGAACTGCTACACATATGTGTTTTATCCTATTTCTCCATGTGTCCCAACAAATTTGAAAACCATGTGTATTCAAAGATTGAGCTTTGGGTTCTGCTGCCCTGACTTGTGCTAAGAAGCCCCAGTTTAACGCATCATTTTGTGTGTGTGGGTTTTTTTTTTTTTTTTTTTTTTTTTGCAGAAAGAAAATAAAAGGAGTGAAGGAGAGAAAGAAAGAGGAAGAAAAAGAGGGAGAGAGAATGGGAATTTAGCTTTATTCTAAATATGGGCATTAATAATGGCCAATCAATATTTTGTGCATTTAAGGTGAAGAATGTATATTTGTGTATTTAAATGGAGAGCTCTATAAATATTTATTGAGTTTACTTGTTCCGGATCTGAGTTCAAGTCCTGGATATCCTTATTAATTTTCTGTCTCGTTGAGTCTAAATCTCTTTATGAGTCTTATGTATCTGGGTGTTAGGATTGTTAGTTCTTATTGTTGCATTGATCCTTTTACCATTATATCTTTGTTGCTTGGAAATCTATTTTATCAGATGCGAGAATTGCAACTCCTGCTTTTTATTTATTTATTTATTTTTGCTCTCCATTTGGTTGGTAAATTTTTCTCCATCCCTTTGAGTCTTTGTGTATCGTTGGATATAAAATGGGTCTGGATGTAGCATACCATTAGGTTTTGGGGGTATGTTTTGATTGGGGGATTTAGTTGACTTAAATTTAGGGTTACTGCCATTTGATGTTAACTGGCTATTTTATCCATTCGTTGATGTAAATTCTTCTTTATGTTGATGCTCTTTACTTTTTGGTATATTTTTAGAAAGGCTAATACTGGTTGTTCCTTTCTATGTATAATGCTTCTTTCAGAAGCTCTTGTAAAGCCGGCCTGGTGGTAATAAAATCTCTGAGTGCTTGCTTGTTCATAAAAGATTTTATTTTTCCTTCAATTGTGAAGCTTAGTTTGGCAGGATATGAAATTCTGGGCTGAAAGTTCTGTTCTTTAAGGATGTTGAATATTGGCCCCCACTCTCTTCTGGCTTGTAGGGTTTCTGCTGAGAGATCTGCTGTGAGTCTAATAGGCTTCCCTTTGTGGGTAACCTGACCTTTCTCTCTGGCTGCCCTTAGTATTTTCTCCTTTGTTTCAGCCCTGGTGAATCTAACGATTATGTGCCTTGGGGTTGCTCTTCTTGAGGAATATCTTTGTGGTGTTCTCTGTATTACCTGGGGTTGAATATTGTCCTGCTTTGCTAGATTCAGAAAGTTTTCCTGAATAATATCCTGAAGAGTATTTTCCAGCTTGGATTCATTCTCTTCGTCATATTCAGGTACACCTATCAAACGTGTACATAGTCCCATATTTCTTGGAGACCTCGCTCATTCCTTTTTATCCTTTTTTCTCTATTCTTGTCTTCTCATTTTATTTCATTAAGTAGGTCTTCGACCTCTGATATCCTTTCTTCTGCTTGATCAATTTGGCTATTCAAACTTGTGCATATTTTGCTAAGTTTTTGTGTTGTGTTTTTCAACTCCATTAGTTCATTTATATTTCTCTCTATATTGTCTATTCTTGTTAGCATTTTATCAAACCTTTTTTCAAAGTTCTTAGTTTCTTTACATTGGGTTAGAACAAGTTCTTTTAACTCCCAGAAGTTTCTTATCATCTAGCTTCTGAAGCCTACTTCTGTTAAGTCCTTTTCCATCAGGGCTTGTTCCATTCCTGATGAGGAATTGTAATCCTCTGTAGAGGGAGAGGGGTTCTGATTTTGGGTATTCTCAGCCTTTTTAGGCTGGTTTCTTCCCTTTGTTATAAATTTATCCATCTGTCGTCTTTACAATTACAGCCTTTCTCATTGGGTTTCTGAGTGGACACCCAGCTTATTGATTCCCAGCACTGGAATCCGAGCAACACACTGCGCTGGCCAAAACAGCAGGGGTAAGACTGATGGTGCTCTTCTGCCCGGGAATCTCCTCCCGTTTACTCTGCACGAAGAGCTGCTGCGACGAGGCGCCAGCAAAACCGCTGTGCCGGCCACAAGAGTCGCACTGGTGACCCGTGGGGCCCCTCCACTGGGAATCTTCTGGTCCGTGAATGATGAAAGTTCGTCTGAAAGTGTGGCATCCTCTCGTTTTCTGTGCTTTTACTGGGAGCTACAATCCCGAACTGTTAGTGATCAGCCATCTTGGATCTCTACCGCATCATTGTGTTTGTACCACCAGTGCAAATGTCAACAACCAAAAAAAAAGAACTCTGAATATACTTACAAAAAGAGTTTTTTCTCATGGTCCCCTGAAAGGGTCTTGGAAAGTCTAAGGGTAAGCTTAGATCTCACTATTCCAACTGCCAAACTAGG